GTCACGGGTTACAAATTGATTGACAGCAGTAAAACAGTTTCACTTCTTTTCAAATTTCTCAATAAAAGCCATGCGCTGACCCGATTCTGGGCTCACTCAGTCTTCTCTGGCTGAGTCCCTTGGTCTCGCTGTTAATCTTACTTTTGTCTCTTGCTCTTATTCAATCTGCGTCGCCCCTTAAGAGAAACCTGTATGCCCTTGCCACGCTGGACGTGACAGTTGAATGCTGAGCTGCTGGCCGAGGCATTTGGTCAGGCGAGCGAGTGGGCTCTCTTTCACACAGGGTGCCTGGTGTACTCTTGTTCTCGTTTTGGACAGCTTCATGTCCCAGGGGCTGTGGGCAGCTTTTCCTACTGCGTCTGGGTGGCACGCTGTCCTAGCACTTCGGGGTCCCCTCCCCCTGGAAGCCTTACCTCTTTGTTCCAGGGATGCATTCTGGGATGAGGCCTGTCCACAGCTCTGCTAGTTTGGGATGGCTTGGGAAATTGGCTGCATGGAGTTCGCCAGGGCTGGCTGGGCAGGCCAAGGTCAGGTGCCTGGCTCCTCACTTTAAAGCTGAGGTCCAAGTGCTGGCCATGCAACTCCCTGGCAGTTGTCTCATGTGGGAGCGCAGTGTTGGGGGGGCCAAAGGCTTGGGCTACACATCTACATCCCAACCTTACCTGCTACCGAGGGGAATGCCCCATCCGGCTACTACTCCGACCCCCTCCTGACTATCCACCCATCCCTCCAGACTGTGCCCCCACCCACCCTTCAATTTACCCACATGCACCCCAGCTGTCCCCTGACCACCCTGACCCCTCCTGTCCACCGAGCTGTCCCCTGGCTGCCTCCTGGCCAGCCCACCTCCTCCTGTCCATCCACTTACCCCCTCCACCCTGGCTGTGCCCTGGCCACCTACTCCACCATTTTTTTACAAGGGCCATTCTACCCTAGTTCTGTGCAGGAAGGGGCTGCACCTGGGCCCCAGTGCTACTTCTCATTGTCCTGGGCTGTCATCACCTGTGTCCTGCTCCTATTGCCCTCGTGACCACACAAATAGTACAGTGTGCATCTGGCCTGAACCTCAGGCTTCAGGGAGCAGGTGCTGGGGGACCAGCATGCCAGGCCCATGTTAGTGTCACTATCCATGACCGTAAGGCCTGGCCTAGCAACTGAGCACCTGTCCCACTGCCCCACACCCTGTCCAGGTGTCCAGGGGCCTGGCCTCATTCTGCTCAACAGCAGTGCAGTTCTGCAGGTCAGCCGTGGTGTTCTCGTGGCTGATGCTGGCTTAGGCTCAGGCCTTACCCCCATCCAACCCTGCAGGTTCCTGAGGCTTTGGGAAGGGTCTGCATGTCATTTCGTCCCCTGCGTGGCACCAGAGGGGTCTGATCAGTCCTGTCCCCTGCAGAGACACTCCTCTCCCCCTCCTAGGGCTTGGCTAGTTGTCAGCCTCTCCCCTGGATTTGTCTAACCCTCTTGGCGTTTTGCTCTATCCTGCCTTCCTCAGGGTCACCTCAGGTCCCCCCACCATCCATGGACTCTGCAGCCTCCATGCCCTCATTGGGCACCCAGGGCCCTGGGTTTGCACCCAGTAGCTGGAGGCCAGAGGATGAGGGAGGGATGAGCCACCTTGGCCAGTAGCAGCCCCCACTTAGGCTTCTTGCACACTGTGGAAGTCTGTGATGGGCCTTATCCACATAGGGTCTGAGTGCCCAGATGACTCCACACTGAGGCTGACTTACACTCAGGGTGCAGAGGCGGGATGTGAGGGTTTGTTTCTTCCCTTAGGCTCCAGAGGGAGTGGGAGCAAGTGAGAGCCCCCTGGGGCGTGTGGGGAGACAGTCCACTCATCCCAAACCTCATTGGCTGAGGATGTGAATCCTCCCTCTCCTCCCCCTGCTTCTTCCTTTCTTGAGCATAAGCTCAGAATGCCACCCAAGCATTGGGAACCTCTCTGCAGACCCCCCATTCCACCATGACAACCTTCAGTGTGTGGCCTGGTGTCCACCTGCTCGCACAGGCCTTTCCAGCTGCCTTAGTGTGGCAAGTGGGAGCCATACACTCAGGTGAACAACGGTTCACTTTTTGGGACCCTGGCTCCAGGGTGAGAGTTTCCCTCCAGCAGTCCCTGCTTCATCTTCCTGGAGCTCGGAATGCGAAACAAGAGAGGCTGTCCCAGGTCCCTGCCACTAGGTGGGCCCACAGCTCCTGGCCGGACACCAGGGCCTGGATATGTGGTGCCGTGCTGACCAGGCCGAGGGCTGAGTGCTTCCTTGACACACCACCCACAGATGATGAGCGGAGTGTTTGTCTTGCATGGCATTGTTCATGTCACTGCAGTGACAATTGATCCAGCCGAAACCAGTGTTAGTCTTAAAATTTACGGAGCACCACGGCCTTCTTTCAACCGCTCCCACCAGGCACACGTTATCCAAGACCAGTACTGTTGCCTGTGTGATTCTATTGTGTGAGTGCCGGGGGTGGGGCTGGCTCCCACCCACTCGGGAGGGTCACTGTGATGCTGTGCCCCACAGAGACAGGGGCTGGGCTCAGAGCCAGGGTGGCGGCTGGGGGCCTGCATGTGTTTCGTGCTTTGGCTGGTGCTGTGATCTCAGACACATTCCTCCCCGCCCCATCTTAGGGGCCGGAGAGCACAGTCTTCTGTGGGGTTTCTCAGATGAGCCCCTGCCCCACCAGATCACAAGGTGGGTAGAACCCGAGGGTCTCTAGCAATCCTGGGGACCTCAGTGAGTTGCCTGGGAGGGAGGCCCAGTGGTCATGGTGGGATCCGAGCCCGGCCTCCAGGCCTCAAACCCTGGCTCCAAGTGGCAGGCATGGCTGAGGAAAGGCACGCCACTGCTCGGGCACGGGTCCTCTCTGACCCTGACTTGGGCTGCTGCTGCCCTTTTGTCCCCCGACAGGCAGATAAGGATCTAACCCCATCCCTCTCCTGCACAGGTTGCTGACAGGCTCTCCCTCCCCAATTTTTCCTTCCAGGAGCATGAAAGCAAAACATTGTCGTGCATGCAACAAATGTGTGTCTGGCTTTGACCATCATTGCAAGTGGATGAACAACTGCGTGGGGAGCAGGAATTACTGGTGAGGGTGTGGGAGAGGGACCTCGTGGGTGAGAGCTGTGTCCCATCCTTCAGCACAGCCACGCTTGATGTCCTCTGGTGTCCTGGTTTGGTCTTGAGACATGTTTCAGTGGGGCCGTCCCAGGACAGGCCATGTCCAGCCCATCCATCCTCACAGAGTAAACTGTTGGAGACCTCCATTAGGATTGGCGAGGAGCCAGCTTCGTGGGGCTGACGAGTCCTTACTCTGCTGGCCTGATTTCCTCTGCCTTCTGCCCAACAGGGCCCTGAGGCCCTGAGGACTGTGCCAGGAGCAAGTATCCAGCCATGGACGGGAGGCATTTTCTCTGTGAGCTCAGGCTGCAGGGCCGGTGGTTCACCAGGCTGTTAGTCAGCCCTGCTGGTCGTAAAGAGCTGCATGTCACCAGGAGAGATACAAGCGCCTCCCCGGTAATCTGCACCGCACTTTGAAAGGGGAGGCCTTTGCTGGCAGGTCACGTGGCCTGCCAGCTGCGGTCTATGTGGAGGGCAGAGGGGGCTCCATGGCTCACCCACCGGTAGGCAACAAATGTGCAAAGTGTTCTCCCAGCTACCAAGCGAGGGACACAGTGTGGGAAATGCCCCAGTTGTGCCTGCATGGAAAGAAGCTTCGCTGCTTTGAGCAGAAGGAAATCCAAAGGTCCCATAATTAGAAAAATCCAATCAGAATTGCGTGACTGGAAGGGACCTGGGAACACTTGTCCTGCCTCTGCCCCTACAGAAGAGGGGCCCCAAGAGGGCAGGGGGCAGGGCAGAACCCCAGTCCTCACGCTGGCATGGTCTCTCCCCTGCATGCAGCTCTTTAGGGCTGGCTGATCACGTCGAGGTCTGATCAGCTGTTGGGGGAATAGGTGAGGGCATATAACCCTGCTCATGAAGACAGGCTCTGCTGACCATAGCTCCAGACAAGAGCAGGCTGAGCTGGGGGTTCCCAGCAGGACTCTGAGTCTCAGGAGCCATACCCGCGATCATGGGCAGGGTTTGCAGGACAGAGCTCGCACCTGGCACACAGCAAGAAAAGGCCTGCTTTCTTTGGCAGGAGCACACGGACCAGAAGGGGCACCATGTGCGCAAAGACTGGGAGACAGGGTAGGGTGACAGCCAGGTGTCCACCGGTAGCTGCCCCCAATTACCTCCTGTCCCTTCATCCATCAGGCAGAGAAAGCAAGGAGAGCAAGTGCATTTAGGAGATAATTTGGTCAAAATAGGTGAATAAACAGAGGCCCTGAGATGGGTCTGGACGAGAGAATGAGGCATGGTGCCAAATTAAAGGCTGGCGAGGGCCGTGGTGCAAACTAAGACATGAATCAAGGAAGGAAATGATTCTTTACGGACATTTGAGGGGAGAGGACCATGACAAGTGTGCCTATTTGGGGGGACCCCTACCCATCTTGGGGGCCCACCTCCTGCTCCAGTTGAGAGGGCAGTTCTGCCCAGACAGCAGGACCAAGATAACCCTGAGGATTCAGGGGGGTGTCCAGCCCACCATCTGGAGGGAGCTGCCTCCCATACCACTGGGCTCCTGGAGTCCAGAGCCAGGTGTGGGGGCCATGCTCTGTGTCCCCTGTATCTGTGGTGTCACGGGCCCAGGCCCTGGAGGATCTGAACTCAGGAGACTCGGCCAAGGGCAGCAACCAGCCAAGCATGCGGATTCACCTCCGAAACCCTGTGTGGCCGACCTGCGTGATTTTAAGTTTGATTTTGGCAATTCCCAAGACAAAGCAAGTGAGGCTTAGCATGGAGGCATAGCCACCATTTTTCAAAGTTCTGGTGATGAAGGATGGGGAGCAGTATGGAAAATGAACAAAGCAATTTAAGTTCTCTGGAAAAGCAAGAAGAGGTCAATAGTGGAACATATGTCCCAATAGAAATTACTGTTTACACTCAAGAAGAAGAAATAACCTATTGAAGTTATCAGATGAAAAATTATGAGTGCTGCTCCTTCACCCCAGTATAAGAAGGTCACTTGCATCAGTGCAGAAGAGAATGGCTTGGCACTGGAGTCTCACAAGGAGTGAAATGAAATAGAACCAAATGACTCCAAAGGAACAGAGGGTCTCAGAAGAAACTGAAGACATTATAAAAAAGGGGAAAGCAAAACTCATTAGAACATAATAGAATGTGTCTGTGGATGTTCTCTTGTGTGCTAATATACTTTTAATGCGTAGAAGAGGGATCCGGGATATCTCTACACGTAATATATTTTCAACAATGCTGTGAAGGGATATCTCACTTGAGTGATTCCATTTTCAAGAAACTAGGTCAAGAATTAGACAATTGAAAAGGGGGCTGTAAAGTCCTGGCATGCATGATAAATGGCTCTGGTACTTGTGTGAAAACTTTTAAGTTCTTGAGTTGATCTGAAATGTATTCTTGCTCCCTGACAAAGGGTAGATTTGCACCTTGATGGTGGTGTTCTGGATTTTTCTTATCAGCTTAGAGCTAGCCAACTGCAGAGACAGTTGGTAAAATTGTTTGAATTGAAAAGCTGGCATACTATTATTACAAGAAAAAATGTATTTGTGGTTTAACCTGTACTCCCTACTAAAGTTCTGCATTTCATTTTGGTAGAGAGATTCACATCATCACACACAGTGGGCCTGCTCTTGGCCATACCCACTCCATGCCAGAGGATTGTTGCACAGACTCTGGAACCAGACAGCCGAGGATCAATGGTCAGCTCCAGCACTTGCTAGCTGGGCAAGTTTGGGTTATTTGACTCTGTGCCTCAGTTTCCTCTCTTGTAGAGTGAGGACGCCAAAACACCTATGTCTTAAGAGTGTTCTGAGGAGTAAATGTATGTAATGAGCTTAGGACAGAGCCTGGCATATTATAAGTATTAGCAATCATTGTTCTAATTGAAGAATTAAGTTTTAAGGGCCATCCTTGGAATAGAATTTTAAAGTAGAAGAGTTAAGATTATGAGGGAGGGTCGGCCGAGTGGCGCATTGGTTAAGAGCTGGCTTGGGATGCCAAGGGCCCCGGTTCGGATCCCACATATGAGGGCCAGTGACACTGCCCTCTACAGCTAAGATGCTGAACAACAGCTCGACCCAGAGCTGGGCTGCCGTGGGTCGCTGGCGATGGCGTAGGCTGCAGTCCCCTGCTGCAGTGGGTTGCCATGGGCTACTGTGTGTAGCCAGCGGCCAGCGTGAGCGGCCAGCAGCCGCCGTGAGCGGCCATCCAGAGGCTGGTGACTGATCTGCCTCGCCTGGGAAGAGCGCAATGATGGTGCCAACTTGGGCCAGTGAAGCAACATCCTCCACAACTAGACTGAAGGACAAAGCAACAGCAACTTGTCTGTTCCCCTTCCCCCAATTCCCCA